AAATTGCTGGAATTTAATAATCAAGGTGTTTTTGCAAAGGGTGCCTGTATTTACTTTGCATCTTGTGAGCAAACAGAGTACAAAATAACTTTGTTCCATTCCTGCTACAGCTCTGTATTTCAAACTAGTCCATCTTCTAGGTTGGAATCTGGCAGCTGCTGTTAATTATTCAATTAGTCCTACATTTATTATTTTCTTACTCAGTTTTCAATATATGATGAATTATAAACAGTTCCAAAGGCAGGTGCCCTTTCTCTAGGCTGGTAATTCAGTATTTTGAATTAGTATTAATTAATGGAAGAGGAGGATATTACATGGCTATTGACAGTTCTAAATTAGGTTCAGCTGTTCTTCTGTAAGTTCAGTTTTAGCATTTAGTATATACAGAATTTAGAAAAAATATTCATTTGAATTTCATCTTCAATGTAACATGAAAAAGTACTGTTTGTTCTCCAAACTGGTACATTCTTCCATAAGCACAGAAAAACAGCACAACACATACAGATACTCTGAGTAACTTAAGAGCCCACTCTGTAATGACTAACAGCATCTTGCAGGAGGCAAGAATGCAGAGTTTTGCCCTGTTCTCCCAGAGAAAAAAATTGGTAGATCTGTAGGAATTAAGATGTGGTTTTCTTTCTTATAACTAATGGATCTTTTAAGTTCCATAAAATAGCTGTTATTAACTGGAAAAATGTTGCATTTTTTTTTTTAACACAGGGTAACATGTATGTTGCCCAAAGATGCTGTGGCTGCCCTATCCTTGGAGGTATTTAAGGCCAGGCCGGATGGGGCTCTGACCTATCCGGTGTAGTGGAAGGTGTCCTGGCCATGGCAGAGGGGTTGACAGTCCCTTCCAACCCAAACCATTCTGTGTTTCTGTTTTACTGTTGGGGTAGTGTAGTGCTTTCTTATATTCTTACACTGAGCTGCTCATCTGCCTTCTGGCTTCTCTATTTCCACTGAAAAAGGCAAAAGAAGTTTCAGATAGTGAACACCTTTTCAGCACTTTTGAAACCCATTGCAGCCTCTCAGGGTAAGGCTCACACCCAGTAACAGCTGAAGGAGGTTGAAAAGCTGTGCTCCATCCTCAGCTTCACAGCTGTAATTGTTTGAACAGCAGATGGATATGAAGGAAAACCAACAACTGTGTCAATGAGTTAGAAATATATTAATTCATGCAGCAAAAATTAGGTGCAATTTGCCAGCTTGTAAGGAGGTAACATACCTGTTCTGGTACCAACATATAAACAAGTGTGTGCAGATAGGATTCCTGGGAACCAAACACCAAATCACATCACTGTTTATATGCATTAAGATGGTTCATTTATTTTCATATTATTACTCAAAAGCTTTAATTACCTTTTACTCTAGAAAAAGAAAGCATTAGTAACCTGCAGTTCCTCTTATAAATCATAGCCTGATGTAGAAAAGATGAGTCACCTTTCCCTTAAGCATGGATGTTAAGCACTGAGAAAATTTGTGGTTTCCTCCCGTCTAACTAAGCTTCAATTTCAAGTTTTGAAGCAGACCAGAAACATAGAAACACTGCTTATTGCCTTTAAAAAATACTTTACATGAGTATGGAAGAAAATTGGGTATGTATCTGCCCACTGACAGCTACATGAAGCAGCTTCTCTAAGGCTGGAGCTTCACAACACAAATTTCAGCATTTTCATCTAACAAAAGTTTTCATTTAAATCTGTACAAGAAGCAATGATTTTTACTGTACATCATGATCTGAGTGCTAAGTTAGTTGGGGTTTCCTCTGGGCTGAACTGCTGCTGATGAAGCTGAGGATCTTTGCAATCCTTCTGAAAAATGTGTGTGTGTGCATACATGGGGAGCAGTGAGATGATTAAAAGAGCACTGAGCAGGTGAGTTCCTCGTTCTTGTCAGCCACACAGGGCAGGGTTTCCTCCTGCTAGTGGAGTTTTTAGTTTGTTGTGTTTTTGTTGGTTAGTTGGTTTTGGGATTTTTTTTATTAGTAATGGCTTTTACACAATCAAAAACTGCAGTTAGTAACTAAGTATATGTAGCCAAGTAGGACCCTCTGAAAAGGATGTGTCTGTCCAGACCCATTCCTGTGCCATGTTTGAGCTTATCAGTGGTACCAGGGGGCACTGCAGAAGAAGCCTGCCTGCAATGTGAGCAGGTGAATGATCTCCTTTCACTTCAGATTGCCCACACCCTGGGTAGGTAAGGTAGGAGCTGTCCTGTCCTTGGGGCCCTCAGGACCAGATGTGAGGTGTCCCTCCCCCACCTCTGCTACCTGGTAGACTCTTTTAGCCCAAACTCACCTCCCAGATGACCTGTGGGTTGAGATGTGAGTTCCTTTGCTGTCTGTCTCACTTTGCAACAAGTAAAATAAAGCAGTGAAGCTCCAGTGCATTATGGCTCATTCCCACTTGCTAAAGGACAAGCATGTTTTCCTGCAGTTGTATCCAAAGAATGGGCCATTACCTTCAAACTTGCAGAAAAAGGAAGATCTGTTCCCAGGACAGTGAGAATACCAATAATTCATGACTTGCCAGCCAACAGCCTGCCTGAGGCTGATGGCTGCACACCTGGAGACATAGCAGTACCTGCTCAGAGGGCTTGCTTTGCTTCACAAGCTGCAGCAAAAACAACATCCTCTCTGTTGGGTCTGTCTGGATCCTCAGCACCAGCACATGTACAGCCTCCTGCATCCTCCCTTCTGGAGGTCCCCACTACATAGAGAAAAGAAAACCCAAAGGTTTGTGGATGCTCCAGTTTGATGGGGAATGATTTACCAAGGGAGATTGTATTCCATTAGTTTTGAGCATTCCCATGTGCCACCAGTAATAAAAACTGGCCCAGCTTACATGCAGAAGTACTCACTCCAGTGCCATAGTGTGCTGGTTTCTCTCTTATTATGGGTCCATTGCCAACGGGAGCTCTCCAGTGGGAGAGAGATTGTTTTGTTTATCTTTTAATGGTGCCTCATAGATGCTGCTGTGAAGGTCGAGTCTCAGTGATGAAAAGACTTTGTGTATAGCCATGGTGAGGTGACAGCAGCTTCTGCTCCAGAGAGCAAAGTGCTTTAATAGTGCTGTGTTTTCAAGGAGATCTTGAACACCCCAAGAATGTGGTAAGCTGTTTTGCCACCACATTCCCCCCTCCTCCTTTCTAGGCTGGAGTATGATCTGAAAAATTCTTGGTAAGCCTTGAAAACAATATCTGGTCTCAGCTATTTCCAAGCTTATCAGAAACATTGTCTGTTCCCAGGAACTGGTAACAAGCTCCTGTTTTCCTTATGACCAGTGCTGGAAAATGTTCCTCATTCCTGAATGGCATAACATTCCTGTTCTCACACTTTCAAAGGGAGTGCTGACCCAAACTGGGACCAGGATGAAACACTGTTATAACTAAAGCCTGCTTTCTTCTGATCCTATAAACAGTGGTCCAAAATGAGAACCTTTGAGCTCTCCTGGACCACAGTAGGGCTGTGACCAGCATATCCCTCTGAGTAGGATCCACTCTGGATCCTCTGGAGGATCGCTGAAACATGATGTGTCCTGAGACATCCCCACTCCTCGGGGCCCCATCAGGAGATGTCCCTGTCAGAAGATGCAAAAGCATCTGAAGTGAGAATTTCACTGACCTCTAGGGGAAATTTTCACAGGTACCTTTCTTGCACTGAGTATTTTTGTCTGTATGCATGCCCCAGCTCATATGATATAACAAATCTGAGAGAAGTACTGCTTTCTTAGATGTTGAAGTACCTTAGATATCTAAGTAAGTTAGGCCTGTAAGTAAGGTTAAGCTTATAACTATAATTTAAATGCTGGTAAGTGTTGTTCTTCTGCTAAATTGTTAAACACAAGTTTTAAGCTAAGCTAAGTGCTGCCAAGAATCTTTCTGTTAAATTGCTAAGGTAGAAGTTGTAAGTTAGGTTAACTGCTGTTAAGCATTACTCCCTTGGTGGATTGTTAAGGTTAAGCTATAAATTAAGTTATAAATTAAGCTGTGTATAAGTTAAGTGTTTTTACTATGTTAAATCTTTAGGCTTAAGGCATAAGTTGTGTTAAAGTACTGTTGAGTGTTAAGATTTTAGGCCATGTTCCTTTTCATCCTTGCCCCCACTTGTCTTTTGTCACACAGACACACACATACCCACACCCTCCTAGATAGTTCTCAGTTTACTTTTGTTTTGATTGTCTAGATTTTGTTTGATTTTGTTGTTGCTTGCTTTCCCTCATTGTGCTTGAGCTGTCCTGTAAATGGTAGAGTGAATCTTGCAACATGTCATGCTTGGCTGCTTAATATTAAATCTGACTTTTGCTCATACTCTTGCTAGTGATCCTTAATTTGCTGACCAATGCACTCACCTTGTCCTCTCTCTCCCTCCACTGCAGCATCACTAGGTAAGGGGAGTATATATCTGGTGTGAATTTCAGCCACACCTGTGACATGTGCCGGACTCTGTTTGGACTCTTAAGGAATCTTGCACCCTCTGAAAAGATGATGTCCAGCACCACTAATTCTCTTAGGTATCAGATACATTGGTCCATCACGTTCCACTATCCTTGGTGCACCTGGAGGTCCTTCTTAGAAAGGTCCTTCTTACACTTGTCAGCAGTCGCTGCCAGAGGCTGAGTTTCCTGTGTTTTCCTGACCCCCTGGCCAATGACCACATCCCAGGACAGGGATCCCAGTTGCCTGGCCTTGCTTCTGTCCAGAATGGTGTCACTGGCTGTGGTGTCCCAGATGCGAAGCAGCCACGTCAGGATGGGCTCCTTTGCCTGGCAGATGAACCCCCTCTTCAGGTCACACAGCTCACCCAGGGACAGAGACCGAGTGATGATCTCTGGCTCTGGCTCTTCTGATGGGTGTGAAGGTCCTGTCACCTCCCCATCAGTCCCTATTGGCCTGATTTGGTCTTGGATTCCTTTTCTTGAATGGAGCACAACTGCTACTGACTTAAACTGTCCTTCTGGCCCAGACATGGTTTGTGTGGACACAATTCTTGTTGATATTCAAGCACAAACTGCCTCTTTCACTCTCTCTGGGTCTTGGACACCAAAATGTGAGCCCTGGCCCCTGCAGAGCCTCACAGAGCATTGTACTTCACACACTGATGGGTCTGTTGGGAAGTGCTTCTGGCAAATGGTCATGAGCCTCTTCAGCCCCTGTATGTATTCCCTTTGAGTTTTGTCATGGTGCACATGGGCCATGTGCTTGGAGAAAATCTTTTCCTGCCTCATCTGTGTATGGATGCCAACCACGTTGACACCAATAGGCCAGGGAGCATTTCCAATGATCATCTGGAGATAGGCATTTTTGCTTTCACATGTTCTCTTTGTAACATGAATTTAATAATTTCCACATATGGGGAAATCTTTGATGTCTGCAGGAAGTGTCCTTTTGCAGAGTGTCCTGAAGAGTGGCCTCAGGTAGGAACCTGTTTCTGAGTGGTGCTGTTCAACTTCCCCTGCACTCCCCATTTCACATAGTCCTCTGTGGCATTCAACTCCTTGGCCCAAACTCCTACAAGCAACTTCAGGAACTTTGTTATGATATCCATATGATAGTGATCATAACCCCATCCTAAAAATTCTCCCAAAGCTTCTAGTTCTTCAGTTGTAGTATGTCCTCATGGACTTTCAGGTCAATCTGGGAGTTAACACCTCCTGCTTCTTGGCCACCTACAATTTCGTTCAGATATTGCTGATCAATCTTATTCAAAGCAGCCTTCAGGTCATTTCTCAGGCCCTTATTCACTTCAGGTGCAAGAATTTCTGTCTTACTCATACGTTGAAATGCATCATAATCTGTTTCTCCAAACAGCCTGGTGGGTTCACCCCTCTCTTGTAACCACCTTATAACCTCCTGTCTGGAAGGAGTCATTGGTAACTTGTCCTCTGCTACTTCACGTTCCAGCACTGGATTTGATGCAGTCAGTGGTTTCTCCTCCTCCTCCTCCTCTTGCTGCTGTACCTTGTAGCCACATCTCTGGAGGCAGATCTTCTCTTCCTTTTTAGCGAACTCACTGCATTTGAAATACTTATTTACCCCCAGGAGCTCCTTCTCCTCCAGCTGCTGGTGCTTCCTGCTGATCCCCTGCTTCAGGATGTCCACGGCAGTCCCAGAAGTATCAGCCTTGACTAGGACAGGTGAAGAAAACTGAAAATACATTCCAAATTAAATTAATTGATTCTAATGTTATTGTGCCATAAACATAAGATATTAACAAAGCAATTTTGATTTCTCCCTCAGTCTTACAAGGAGTATCATGAAGGGCAAATAGTTCCCTCATATGCAGAAATATGTATAGGGTAAAGTACAACACTCACATGAGTACATCAAGCATCATGATGATCAGGGAGTCTCGTATCCCAATACACAAATGCTTTAGAACAAAACTGTAATTCCAATTTCTCAGGCCGCACATCAGGAGCCAAAAGATGTGCTGGTTTGAAGGTGAACCAGCGGGAAAAATGAACCATGCTCTCAATTCAGAGAGATTTCAGGTTGGAGTTACAATTTTGTAGGAAGATTACAATAAATGTGATGATACACAGAAAACTGGCTTAAGCCCACAAAACCAGAGTACAACCTGGCACTCCGTGTGTTAGGGCAGTGGTCACAGTCCTGTCAAGTGGTGGTTGCAGTCCTATTGAAGTGATGGTTGCAGTCAAAAGGGGTGGTCCTGTGGAAGCTGTGGTCCTCTAGATCTGTCCAGCGGTGGCTCTGGTAATTTCCAAAGTCCCTGGTTCTATCTGCTCAGGTTCAGGAGGAATGCTCAGTACCTCCCCCTGGGCACTGAGTTTCACAAGGGAATGATGGGTCATGGGGTATTTGGATGTCCTTGACAGAGATAACCCCTCAGGATGGGTGGGACTGTGCTGGTGCTTCCCAGGAGGGGAGTTATCACAGCTGAGTCATTGGTGTGCTGAAAAACACTACCCTGGTGTTTGCCTTTTCTTCCTTATCTCACTTAACACCCAGCTTGTAGCCTGAGGTGTCTGTCGGGTGTGCCCTGGGGCAGCTAATGACCATGAACATCATTACAGTTTGTCAGAAACAGCACTACGGCCTGGGAGAAAGGGTTTTGTGTGAGTTCTGGCAATTCAGTCCAAGTGGAAATGTAGATCACACTTGTGAGCTCTGGCTGTGCCAGCTCTGAACTCCTGGGGTTACACTCTGTCTTCTGCCACAAAACACTCCCTTGCTTCCTTTGCAGCTCCACCAAGGCACTGGGCAACCACTCCACAGCTCATGCCACAGCTGCTCTATTTCCAGTTGAGTTCCTGTGGTGTTGCCAGGGTATCTGATTTTATTCACACTCTCATGTCAGCTGATACTATTCTTAACCCTGTTCATGAATCTTGTAATTACATGTTTGTACATTTTAGAAAAACAAATTAAGTTTTATGAAAAAGTGGTCTGTATGGGCTAAAACCTAAACTTCACTTAAAATCCTTTCATTTCACTGCCAAGTTTGTAGCTTAATTTGGTTGGCATTTTGTTTGTCATGAGGCTGAATTAGTTGGTATTAGTGACATCTGCCTTGGCTTTACAGAGATGTCAGTGAATGATGTACAAAGGTAATTGCCAATTCACGTTTTCAGTATTAATTATTGGCAGAGATTCAGTTCTTAGCTGCAGTTTGATGCCAGAAACAACATAGTGCATCACCCACCTGTTGGTGAATTATATATACTTCTTCAGTATGTTCTTTAAAAAGTCAGAAGGTCCAGTCCTGGAGAATCCAGGAGGTCGTGTCCTCACGCAGGGGCATTAATTAACCTCCAGAGAAAGCACATCTCTGCCTGGAGCCTCCTTGTACTGGTTTGCTTTATCTAGTCAGGACTTTTTTGCAAGAAAATGGTACGTTTGCTAGTTTGTCAGGGGTCAGGTGTCCCCTGGCTGCAGGGAGCAGGTGTGCCCAGCTGGCAGGGACCTCACCTGGCGCATTGCCTCCCATGCCATCAGGTGGCACTCCAGGCTCATGCGCTGCTTTCCTCCCTCTGCCGCTGTCTCCAGAGGGCACCGCCAAGGAACAAAAGAAGCAGGATCTGGTTTTACTCCATTTCGAAGAGGAAATGCAGTTAGGAAAAAAAAAAAAAAAAACCTCTTATGAAAAATAGATAACCATTTGTGAAGCCGACTCCCTGCCAGATACAAGCAAGTTAAACAAATGCCAAGCAAAGGCATCATGGTGGAGTGTTCCTGCAATCCAAGACTATTAAAAGAGAGGAAAAAGATCTATTTTTTCTGTGTGACAAAAAACTGCACAATGATAAATGAACAGCATATGAAACAGTGCATGGCAAACTTATAAAAAGTGCAGCCTAGCTGATTTGAAGCTCAGCAGGTTTTGAGAATGTTCCTGTCTCTAAGATCTTATAAAATAAGCCTGTCAGCGTCAATCTGCATTGTCTGGTTCTGTAGTAAAGTGAGTAGTGACAAAACACGGTCCTGACGGTGCTGCTGGTGGAAACCCTGTTTTTTCCTGCATTTTTACATCTCAGATGAAAAAAAAATAATAATTATGGATTATCTTTAATATTATGGAGCTTAAACCTTTTTATTAACTATTATCTGCACAAGAAGAAATAGAGAAAATCTGTGGCAGAGTTTAATAATAACTTAGGTAGAAGCCATGCTGATTTAAGGGAAATTCTAATTGCAACTCTTGCTTGACATACCCATGGACTATAGTTAACACAAGGTTTGGGAATGTAGAAAACTTGTGGCAAGGTCACACACCAGGTAAAGGCCAATAAGAGAAACACTGCAATACTGATTTGTCATGTTTTACAAATCAAATAGATAGATGACAGCAGGTTGCTAGAGATGTTTTGTTCTATTTTTGTAGATGGCAGCGTTTTTGTGCAATAATAGCAAGTTTGGCAACAGAAAGGGCCCTGTAAATGTTGCTGTTAACCACGGGAGACAGCAGTGCCTGACAGCAGGAGCTGTGTCATGCTAAATTAGAAAGGGCTTGAACCAAGGCCACAGAGCCCGTAATATCCCGGGAATCACTGTGTGTCAATCTCAGCATGGCCTGTCTTTATCTGAAATAATTTTGTCACTTTAAAGGGCAAGGCATTTCAACAAAGCATCTCCTCTGTAGTTCCTCTCCCATTCCTCCCTCCCTATTCATCGCTGGTGACAGCAGAGATGTTTCCACGACAACAAGCCATGCTGTTGCCTCAGGTGACAAACTAACTTCAATAAATAATCCCTGAAAACAGCTTCAAACAATTAATTAGATAATGGAAATGTTATTTTAATAGGGCTTAGATTCTTTGGAAGCAGTCTACACACCATGTTCTGAGCAAGAATTTGTCTATAATCAAAGCCAAAGCTGCCATCTGAAGGTCAGGATGGATATCACTGTCTGAATACTCTACGAACAAGCTATCTTTTAAAAAAATTCCTTCAAGATCAAAACCAGAAGATTCAATTCAAGATTCAATCCAGAAGATGCAATGCAAAACAATTCAGGGTTTTTTTTATTTGTTTATTTTGGTTTTTTAAAAATTTTCTTCAAAGCACATACTGGTAGGAATTTACCAGCTTGCTCACTGAAGGCAGTCCATGGTTGACACGCTCCCCATATGCATACCCTTGCACCAATGTGACAGACAGATGATGAGCCCAGCAATTGGTTTTGCAATAAATGGATTTTTCAGTTTTCTCTTTACTGAAGAAGATGCTTTCCTAGAGTTATAAATGGATGATTCATAAATCTCTCCTAATACCGCTTCTAGTAATAGTTCAATTGATCTTTAATAGTTGTTTAAAAAGTGAATCTCCATGGAGTGCTTCAATCCTATAGCCTGAAGTTTCTGTAGCCCAGGGCAGGTCTTCTGTCTAAGCTTAGATGTACACAGTGTTTAAGTGCAGATGGATACACTGAGTATATGCCTGTGCCTTATATCACAGTCCCCATTAGCATGGGCACTCTGTGGGGTAGTAGTTGCCCTGGCAGAATTTCTTTTTTGCTTTATTTATGATATCAAGTTTCTCCAGAACAGTGCATCTATGAAGCAAGAGCAAGAAAGACAAGGGCTGCCACCTTTCCTGTCCCACCAAGTTTATGGGGTGTGCAAAGACCTGCCTTTGCAGAGCCAGATGTGCTCCTACTCCTGGTTATGGATTGTGCTCATGGGTTAAGTCCTACCTTTCTGTGCAAAATATTTTCAGTCTGTGCATGAGGGACTCTGCACCGCTCCTACTGCATGTTCCTCTCAGGCAGCTCCCTTTGGGGGGATTAACAACAGTCCTTGGAGCTCCCTTTGCAGGACAGTGGGGTTCATCCCTGTGTGTCATCACACAGCTGGGAACAGGCCATTGAGTACAACAGAGAATGTGCACTAAATACTGGCAAGAATGTTTTTGAGGCAGAAAATAGTGAATAGTTGAAACTAACTTTTGCAGATGCCCTGTTTTTGTTATAACTTTGTCAGGTCAAGGATGAAATCCAGGTTTGCTGCATTGTAAGGAAACCTTGAAAGAGCTGCTGTATGGGGTGCCTGGATAAAGCAGGGAGAGTCTTGACTCCAGTTGCACAAATCCTTGGAAGAAAAGAACAGGGGGAAACATGTATCTGAGGACTGATAATTAAGGTATTACCTGGAAAGGGAAAATATTGGAATTCTAAGCTGTATAAGGGTATACATCCTGCATCACAGCAACTCTTCCAAAATGATCACAGCCCTGTGCTTATATCACTCTGAGTTTTCATTGTGGGACTTCTTTATTTCCCCTTGGCAAGTTTGGAAGATCTTGCTTTGGTCCTATGGGCATAAGATCAATGTACAAAACCTCAGGGTATCTCTGCAAAAAGATGCCTTTTCTCCACTTCTCTTCTGGAGGGAGAGCAAGGGATGTGGGTGTGGGCCATGACAGCACCCTCTCATTAGTGCAGGGAAGGGAGAAGGTTCACCCAGGCACCTTTGGCAGGTGGATGTGCATAGGGCAGTTGTGTCGCTCACGGGCTTTGTGTCTTGTGCACAACAGCTGCCTCTTTGTGGTGGGTTTTATAATTGAAGGTTTAAACAGTTAAACTGCTTTCTTAATGCATTTGTGGTTGCTAAGATACAACCTCTTCAGTTGCATAGATCTTCCACTTGAAATACAGCACACTGGCAAATGGGGCTTTCCCCTCTGACAGCCCAGGAGAG